GACACCGGCTATTATATCGTTATTTTCACATCGATCAAGTGGAAAACGGCATACAAACCCAATTTCAAACGTATACAAATAAAAACCATAATAGTGATTTATAGAACCGACTTTTTTTTTTTCGACGATACCGGTTTCATTTTGATAATATATCATATTACATTAAAGTAAACAGTTTTGACAACATGATAACATACTATTATTACTACACTTCATTAACTCTCTACGCGCAAACAAACAGAGATCTTTGGAACCAATAAATTATTGAACGGTGTAAGTTAATATTTTCGATCGTTTTCGCATTAAGCACAACAACTAAATTCACGGAAACACTGTTATTTTAGATTTTGAGTCAATAAACGACGAGTGTATACTGTATACACACATAGAAATGGAATGGATAATTTGAATCTTTACTATGGTCTTAACCATTAAAATTGAGGTTAACTGAAATGGCGCATTAATCCAAATATAATATCTTAACTATTTTAAGGTATTGAAATAACTTATTACGCTTATTACACACATATAACACTGTCATTTTTACATATGAGTTAATAAATATTATAATAAGTATTTATTATTATTATAAACAATAATATCAAATTTTGGAATATCACTGCGGTTTGCGATTGCTTGTAAAAACGTGTGTATCATTATCATCGACCAATCTTTACCAATCACAAGTGTGGTCAGTGCCTCACATAACCATATTTTATTATAATAATATAGCTAATATAGGTACATATTGTTATTTTGTTTTATAGAAGAGGGTTTGGGGGTTCAACCTCCCCCCCCAAAAAAAAATGTATGATTGGTAAGGCACAAGTGCGTATTTATAAATTAATTTAATCTATGTATTAACTAAAATCCAAAAGCTCTTTTTGTAAACCCCCCCCCCCCAAAAAAAAAAGTTATTTCTATATACGCCACTGATATAGACTGGCTTAACCACCGTTATAACAAGAACTAAAGTACCTAGTTATCTATATATATATATATATATGCATTGATACAACCTGCAATTAAATGATTCGCAGTAACAATATTATGAACAATATAATATACTTTAACAATACAGTAAATAGATATAACTTGCAAAATAAATACAAATAGTAACGAGGAATGGCTTTAGGTTAGTTTAGGTTTTAAATGAACAATGTCTAATGACGAAAATGTATAAGTGTTTAAATACTAAATATTCATAATCCAAGTACATCTAATATAATGGTATAATAGATAGGTAAATAGGTTAGGTTAGGTAACAATTAAATAGTAAACCAGCTTGAGTTCGATTCCTTGACAAAACCGTGTAGAATGTTTGTATATTTTTTCAACATATTTTAACAACCGAATCAGTAGTTGTTTTAACTCCTCAATATAGTTGTGTTAACAGTAGTGATGCAGTTGTAAATATATTTTTTATGAAGTTAATTGGAACTCAAATTGTTAATTATTTTGACTATATTAGATGGGTTACAGTAAACAATTACGGTTAACTGCATAGCGTAGTCAAGGCCCTAAGCGAAATTTAACGCTCAAATGTGTGTGGAATTGGCGAACTAAGTACTCTAAATAACCTCACAGTTTTATGCGTGTAGGTTTTACTATTATGTTGTGTGTTGACAAAGCAACACTATCAACTGAACTCCGCTCAGAATCGTTTTTTCATTGGCAATGTTATATACATTTCGGTCTGCATCCTACCTTCCGAACTTTCCACCTTGTTGTTTTTCTCCGGTTATCAGATGTTTGACGTAGAAATTGTCTGAAATGAAAAGTTATCTAACGGAAACTTTTAAAAATATTATTAAATTCGCGAATATTAAAAAAAAAAACAGAATAATATTACTGAAAAATAATATTGTTAAATAAAAAAAAAATTAAAAAAGAGACGTGCAATTTATTATCACGGGTTTTCAGAAAAATCCGTTTTTCAAATAATACACGATATTTAAACGCGTTAATAATAAAAAAAAAACAAATAATAACAACGAGTAAACAATAAAATTCTATAACTAAAATACTTAGTACTACACACGAAATGTGATACTATTGTCCGATATAAGGAAACCGACAACTCTATTTGTTTAGTTTCTAACTCGGAGCGTTTAAAAGTACCTATGTAAAAAAAAAAATAATAATAACAATGTAATATATATTTTAGATTGTAAGCGAAGAGAAAAATGTTTACTATATTATGATGTTGTTTTTTTTTTTTTTTTTGCAACTGTAAATAACTTTTCTACCAAAATTCCTGCTTCAATCAAAAAATGCTAAATAAACTTTATTTTTTGCATTTTGAATCTAGTACATTTAGGACGTAATTTTTTACAGAAAAATGTTAAGAGAAAAACGGACAGAGTTAACTATTTCATTATTTTAAATGAATTTCAATTTTTTGTTTTCTACCAGAAATATTGGTTCGAATTTCAAGAGTAAGTAACATTCTAAAAGAAAATTTAGTCTAGTTGGTGAGTAAAAATGTTTTTCGACTTTTTTTAATAGTTTGGCGAAAAAAAATGATGAGAAAGTGAACGGAAACCAAAGGTTTCATTTTTTTTTTTTTTTTTTTGGAATATTGTAAAAATAACATTTAAGAATTAACATTTTCTCAGAAATTATATTAGCTTTTTTAAGACGTGGTCAATGTTTCAAAATATTCCTTCGATTTTTGAGCTGTTTAAAGATTAAAATATCGTACAATATCGAATATTTGTTTTAGTTTATATTTGGTAGGTACCACATGTATAAAATTGTTTGACCAATCAGATATGTGTAAATTTTTAACACGTGGTTCGTTACGAGTTGTACTCAGTGGGCAATTGGAAGTTTGTTTTAATTTGTATACGAGTTTTTAAGATCAAATTTTAATAAAGAACGCCATTAAAATGATGGCATTCTAAAACATAGTGCATAACCGAACATCGCTCTGAATAGAATTTCGTTAGCAATGGTTTATCGTTACTTATAGAATATATTATAAATCAAATAACTTTATATATCCTAGCTTTTCGACCTCCTAGACAGCGGCGCACCCATCCTCAATATCGGTTTTTATGGGTTTCATACAATATTCTCTTGAACATAGAATAATATTTGTTTCACGGTCTAAAAGTTGAAATTATTAAACTTTCGGAAAAGTCATTATATCTAATAGTTTACGGTCTTGTGGTTTTTTTTTTTTTGGTTATTTTTTAAACCCCTTTGCGTTCAGAAGCCGCAACGCGCGCGTCCTATAAAATATTATTAATGTTGAAAAGGAAACCTCTTGTATATTATTTTCCACGGTTCTCCACGCCTTTTTGGACGATCTCCGGCTTACGGCAATAAATAAGATTTACAAAGAGGAGGTTTATACTTAGCCGAAAGATAAAGGCATTTTATTATACGCGCGTCCACTGCGTAATAATGGATTTACTCTTCTCCACCGTCTTGATACCGCGTCTTTTTATAACGGTTATTATATTACCCTCGTCGTAATATTATTACACAGAATTTGTTTTCGGTTATTATTATACACTATTATATTATACTAAAGTCAAGTGACTTTATAGTATTAAACACTCGACGGTTTTTAAATCGTGTAAACTGTTTGTCATAGTAACATGAAATCCATTTTTATTCAATTTTCTAAAGAATCGAGAAACAACGTTTGCGGCAAAATCGGTTTCGTTATTTTCGATAAGGTGTTTTTTGCGCAGACTGGTTTAAAAATAGTCGTAGAGACGTGAAAAGTTATTAGCCTTTGTAGCCTTATCAGCCAATTTATAGTTATTTTTAGGCATTTGATATAATTGCGAGGTTTTTAAAGTTGAATTTAGTTTTACGTGGACATAATTGTTATGGTGGAAAGCCTTGAAATCGAAAACAGGGTTCAGTATGTAGTTTTTAAAAAAAAGTTGAACGTAATGTAGTGTTTTTTTTTTTTTTTTTTTTTTTTGATAAGCGTTTTGAGTTTTGAAATAAAATAGAAAAAACAACTGCATTTCAAAATATAGGTAACCGAATTTCGATCATAATCTTATTTCGCTACCGATAATTTATTTATGCTAGCAGATATAAATTAAATTACTTTATGTTATCTACGTTCCTAACTTCGTAACAACAGCAGTAGTACACTTATGTTCACAGTATCAGCTGTTTTTTATTTATTTCCTTTTTACTACTCCGCGCAACGTATTCAGAATTTAAATTTTAATAAAAATAAATACATTTAACATGGCATAGCATACGTGAAACGATCTACTCGTATTTGATTTTTTTTTTCAAAGGCAGACTGTAAGTTATTTATGTAAACACATCGTCTTCTATGCGATCGTGGTAATAATATACATAAATGTCAAATAATAATACAAAAATAACGAACATTGATTTTGATTTAAAAAAAGAGTCCTTTCGAATTTTGTTGACATAAAAAAAAAAAAAATAAAAAAACAAAACATTTCCCTTAGATCGTCAGCTACTGTCGTGATGAAAAAAGGCCAGTGCGGCTGCTATGTTACCCAAAGACCGTGGCGTCGCCTTCACCGCCGTCAAAATCATTGGTTTTTTTTTTCTCGATACGGCGGGTTCGAACAAAAACCCTAACCGCCTCTCCGCACGCTCATGCGACAGAGGCCACTGATATTGTGTCGTACACGGTTTTTTTTTTTCATCTTATACGTTTTTAGTTATTACCATAAAAGCTCGCGGAGAAAAGAACATTACACGCGCGAAAAAATCCATTACTTCGACGCACCGATTCTTTTGTGTGTCGCGTTAAAAAGCGTAGACGACGACGTCGTCGGCCACGAGACAAACATTTTCTTCAAAATTGTATTACCGAACACACTGAATTCGAGTGTTCTGTTCTTTTTTCTTTTTTTTTTTTTATGGCAGCCGTAAACCGAGGAGTAATTTAACTTTTGATTAACTTTTAACTAATGATTAAAATCATTGTCAGTCCCGAACCAGTAAGCGAGAAGGAAAATCATAGTACATAGCATGTCATTTTGTCACGTGATTTTCTCAACCTAAGTGCAGTTAGAACGCTTTTTCGGCCCGTACTATTCGACCGATAGTTTCTATACAGTCGTACAAATATCGCAATCCGACCATCCCGGTAATAGAAATGTGTAACTACGTTCCAGGTGATAATTGATCGCTACATTACTAAGACGTTAAAAAAAAAAAGTCGTTTTCGTAATTAAATGTATCAGTAATGTGACGATCGCGGACAAGTTGTCAAGAATGCGTTCGCTATTTTAAAATCCCGTTTCTATAAGAAAAAAAAAATACCTTATATAGATTCTTCTCCGAGTATACCGACGTAATATTATTATCTGAAAAACGAAAAAAAATTTTTTAAAAAAAAAAACCGTCGTTCGAAGTTATTATATTTATTTATTATTATTATTATTTTTTTTAGTATGTACTTAACTCGTATTTACTTACTGCAGTTTTCCTCGGGAGCGAACCATTTTTTTTTTGAACGTTGTTTTTTACGGTTTTTTTCGGCCCCCGGCTCCCTTTATAATAATATAATAATATAATAATAACATTATTATTATTTGTCAGCCACCGACCGGTTTTCGAAATAGGAATTAATCATTAAACACTTTTCGACCCGTGCAAGTACTCGAAAACGGCCGTGGCGTGAACCACGCGATAACCGGTTGCCCCGTACCCATTTCAACCGCCGTCGTTTTCTTCAGATATTGTGCGGTTAACCGACGGATAACATCGTACGTGTACATAGTAATGTACTGATAATATACAACGCGTTAATTCGTCGGACATCGTGCGGTGAACTATCTAAGGAAGCTAGAATGGACATTTAATGTATATCTGTACGCAACGATTAACCATTGCTAACGAAAAACGATTCTGACCGGAGTTCGGTTATAGTGTTGCTTTGACAACAATACGTATAGATGTCATATTATAGTATAATAATATTTGTTTAAGATTGTACCGATTTTCTCCTTTTTTTTCATGTTTTTCCCATTAATTTTGGAAAATCAAAAAATTACCCCCAGTCAGATTTTCTTTTAGAAAAAGTACAAATCGAAGAAAAATTTCTGGCAGAATTTGTGTATTCAGTGTATAAAATATATATATATAAAACGTATCGTCCATGAAAACTGAAAATGTAAGACAACGACGATCCCAATAAATGATAAGCGAATACCGAACCGTACTTTTTTGTTTTTTTCGTCTACTCGGGATAGGATTTTGTTGCGCGATTATTTCGAGAACAATACAAGAGTTATCGTAAATAACGATTTTTGTATAGGCGTACACAACGTTTAACACCAGGTTTTTGGGCGTATTTATGAGACGAGATAGCCAAATGAAACGATCTTCGATTTACAATAAAATTCTCACCTCCTCCTCCACTACCCACAAATCCGGTGGGTATAGTATGTACCGTGATTTTCCCGATAATATTTACGTGGATTATATAATTATAAATTACACGTAGGTAATTTTTTAAAACGTGATAATATGACACGCCTTTATACATATAACATATAACATATGAATTATGTTAAAAAACAAAAAAAAAATTATAACTTTTCGTCATTCAGATAAAAGTATACTGTTTTTAATGAAAAACACTTATTAAATTTAAAAAAAAAAAAAAACGGGTATGATTTCGCACCTATGAATTTATGTAATACATTTGAAGAAAGTTTTTCATTGAATTACTGCTATTTATTTTCATCAAAATCAATATAAATTTAATAAATTCAAAGATAATCTTACTTAAAATAATAATGTAGAACATTCAAAATAAGAAAAACTAATAAACTAACCAAATCAATAGTGTCTTAAACCAAAAACATAATGTTCAATGATTTATGAAAACAATGTTGTACATTTAATGGAAGGTGGTATTAATTTATTGACACCATTTGTTAATTATAATTAGGTAACGGATTTATATGTACTTAAAACCCACAAAAAAAAAACTCAAAAAGCACTAAAAATATTCCAAAAAAGTGGTGAAGGAGTTTTAAAATCCCTACTTTAACGGATCTAATCCTATTAAACAAAATTATCTAACACCGACAAATGATTAACGAAAAATATTTTTTTTTATAACAACTACAAATATATTTGAAAAAAATTACTTTGTAATAATCGTTTTTTTTATGTTAAAAAATTAATTTTAATGAATTAAAAAAAATAGGCAGGGAAACTTTTAAACCCCTCTACTTTTATTGCTCTTATAAATATCTTTCAAGTTGTTTTTATGGGCTTTTATGACGTTTTTAAGCGCTTTTTTGTGAATTTTATGTATATATAAATTCGCCACTAATAATTATATACTATTCTATGGTTAAATCAATTTTAACTATTCTTTAAATTAAAAACTCTGATGTTGAATGAATGACATTTTGTGTCAAACCAAGTAAATTAATGATATTAAATGAATATAATAATAATAAAAGAACCAAAACTGCTAACGAGCGTGCAATGGTTGTAGCTGAGAATTGAGATGGATATAGGAAATATAGAGTTATTTATGTCTGTAAGTAACGATAAATCATTACTAACGAAAACCGATTCTGGGCGAAATTCAAGAAAATATGTTTTGAAATATCGATATTTTTACGACTTTCATCAAAAACGCTTATGAATATATACTGTCTACTAGATAAGACTTAACTTTATTTTTTTAACAAACAACTTGTGATAAACAACGCGTTAAACTTTTGACCATTTTTGATCCGTAAAAATATTTGTATTCACTTAAAAATCAAATAAAAACTTAATATATTCAAACATTTCAAATTTAGACATAAAGTACTCTGTGATGATTTTAGATCGAATATAACAGAAACTGGTATTGCTGTATTTTTACCATGTTTTACTCAATACTTAAGAAAACTACCGAGAAAATCAAAAAAATAATCTCCTTATGCACTAGACAAATTTTGCTTTCAGAAAAAGTTACCAAATACTTGTAAATCATAGTAAGATTCCTGGAATAAAAGTTGCTCACAGAAATAAAATGAATATTTAAAAAAACACGCGTATTTGTAAAACCCTAGAGTTTAAACTATGTTCCATAAATCAAGGTTTACAACAAAAATTATTACAAACACTTATGGTTAGGGGGTTAGGGCAAATAGATTTTACGGGCATTAAAAACCTTTTAATATATTATGAGTATATATGCGCTTAATATAACAAAATATCACTTCAAAATAAGCTCTAAAAAACAAGAAAACAAGAAATCTTGAAGATGTCGTTTATCGTTACATATTCGAAAACTCGTAAGTATCTATTTGAGTGAAAAAATACATAAATAATAATATTTTTTTACAAAACACGAATACCTATAATAATTTTATTACCTATTGGTTTAGTCCGGATTTATATTTTCTGAAAACAATGTAAATATGATGATAGTATTATTTCCTAAAAATGTACAAAATATTCTCCTTATATTCTCTTTAAATCTAAGAAAACATTTTTTTTCCCCCGTACATAAATATTAAAATTGACAATAATAATAATTATTTAAAAATACAATAGATTGGTATTTTTTTCTTACGATTTACACAATATTCACAGATTTGAAAAAATATTTTTTCCCGTGAACTCTGTGTCGTCCAGACTTTTTACACCCGTTAGACTCCATACTATACTCAGTCACAATATGCGAAAACGTAAAAATCCGGACTTCATAGTTATTACATCTGTCCTATACATATATTCGATATAAAACACGTCTTCTGCTACCGGTTTCTATCATTTTTTTATTATTAATTCGTTTTTTTCGTGATACCTAGGTATAATATTATTATAAACTCCAAAAACTCTCGCGGTAATTAAAATATTTATAGGCGTTCATTTTTAATCGCGTTGGTATTTTTTTTTTTTTGTATTTTTCATTAACAAAACGCGAATTAATTAGATTTTAATATTAAATCCTTTTCACCCGAGGTCACGTACTATTATATCGCCAAACAATATTACTTTTTTTAATTTTTTTTTTTTGTCGTTTTAATATAAAATGTTCGCCCGTGAATAGGGTACGTCGTCGGACGAAAACACCGGATGATGATAGTCACTATTATATTGTTACTATCGTTGTCGTGCGGGCAACGCTTTAATCCGAACGTGCCGATGAGACGCGTCCCGTGACGCCCCCTCAAAATTAATTAGTTAATTACAAAAAACGAATAGCTTAGATTCCGTTCCGTTTAAAAGATAATCTTAAGAGCCAAATTAAAATTCAACACCATATTGCGTGTCGGAGCGGTTTTCGAAATGACGGTGGGTTTTTTTGTCATGAAGGACAATGCGCGGTGGTCGGCGCTAACGTCTTCGCGTCTTATTCAAAACGAATCTTTGAAATCACGACGTTATGTGCAGTGTGGGCCGTGGCGAAAACAGATTTTTGAAATTCGATCAACTTTTTCGAGACTATTTTCTCAGGAATTTTAAGTCTGTTCAAGCGCTTTTTTGACGCTATTTAAATTCACTATGCATTATTATTATTTTTTTTGTTACGATCATAAGTAGATGATATTTATCAAACTGATATTATATTGTTATCAGGATAAATACACTACAGTGAGAGTAATATAATCAATCAATCTATCCATAGCATGCTGTGCCAACTTGACCATACTTAGCCTGATCTCTACTATTTCGCTGTGATTTACTAAATGTTTTACTCGCTATTGTTCTCGCAACCACTGCCATCGAGGCGTTTACATATTGAAATAAATATATAAACAAATAATATATGTGACACTTTATCGATAAAGATAAACATTTACTCGACCGCATTATTATAATAAATTTGATTGTCGTCAAAAGACGAATCGTGTTTGGAATTCGATTACGATTCAATGGTATACATTATACTAGTCAATAATACGGTAAAATTTCGATTCAAGTATCCGCCGTAATATAGGTAATTTATAGTTTTACAATGTCATTTGTATGCGACGGTTCGCGAAAACAAGATTAATGTTTTAATGTAGAACATTAAAAACTTACGAGGAACTCAAGTGTTGAGCTACAATATTGTTTCGCTCATCTCGGTGTTTAAAGTGGTATTATAAAATAATAACACCATATGATATTGTTTTAATAAATTATAACGCAGTCAAGAAACGATTCCTATCGCGGTTCTTCGAACAATTGTTTATGATTCATCACTATTCGTATCATCAATTTACAGTCGTTCACTTCGGCAAAGTTCCCTCGGGCATTGAACAATGAAATTAGAAAAAAGAAAGGTATAATAATCTCTCTCCGGAGATGTTCAATTTATTACCATCTTGGAATTTACACCTACGTGACATTTGTGATTACGGACACGAGTATGTTTACTGCTAAAAAAAAAAAAAAAAAACCGAGAAAGAATTTTCAGTGGGAAAAATCCCTTTTGCTAGAAAGTTAACAGCTTTGGTCGAAAAAAAAAAGAAATTTACATCTAATTATCTTATTTGTACCTATAATATAAATTCGTATTAATTTATTCCGTAGACGATTTTTAAATATATATCAGTGCGCATATTTTATGCATCATGTACTTTGTTAACATATTATCATATATTACTATACTGAAAATAAATGAATACGATTATATTGACTATTAGTCATATTATTACTCATATTTGTATCATTTAAACTATTGTTAACTCATTATGCAATGCAATATTTTTTTTATATATTTGAGATTTCGTTAGTTAAAAAAAAAAATTGTGAGTTTTTTAATTTTGTCACTAGAATGGAATGTATGATAACAGATTTAAGTACG